ATCTTTCAAAAGTTAAAAACGAGAGGCTCACACATCTGATTTGTAGTTTTTTAAACCTCTAAAGAAAAGACTGTCTGGTCATGGCATTTTATTCCTAATCTTTTTATTTACCGTTTAAGAAGACAAGCTCCATTCTAAAATTTTGCTTACTTTAACATATTGGTTCCCAAACTTTTTTTTATCTGCAGACCACTTTGGCATAGCGAAAGACCCGTGGACAGCCTACCTCAACTGTGGTGTTGTGCATCAGTGACTTTGAGAACCACTGTTTTAACATACTTAAAATATCCTAGCTGTAATTTTTGAACATTATCAGTCAGAAGTTTCTCATAAATCCATTTGTATTTCCAAATATCTTTTTCTTTAACCAAATCCTAGCCTTCCAATAGTCCTGTAAATATTCAAACCAAATAAACTGACAGTCTTATTGTGCATAATGCCTAAGCTGGTAACACACAATTTGTTGACTGGTAGTTTGTGACACAATATCACAAAAAGCTTGAAAGAAGTTTAATTGCAATTCAGGTAGCTTATTAAAATTATTATCAATTTTAAAATTACAAGTGTGGAATACTAACTGAAGTCCCACCATTTACATGCTTGATTGATATAAACTGATTTTTATGTATGTTAGGCACCTCATAAGCTCACACTAAACTTGGCAAAGAAACACCTAGGTTAAAAAATCACCTTGCAGTTGAATAATAGAAAATAATATCCCTGTATTTCATTTCCATGGATTAACAAAAGACCACTTGATCCCTTTACTGATCTAAGTTATTTCATTTTCTATTATGAGCCTACTTCAAACTACATAAAGAAATCCCTTTTTTAATATCAACCCTAACCTATAAAGTATTCAATCTCCTCTTAAGCCTCTTCAATTTTCTAACATCTATCACATTTGAATTTTTATGGTAAACCATGATGGTTGTCTAGTTTTTCTGAATAATGATAAAGTTAATCCAAGTACAATATAATAAATAACTGGTGATAAAACTAAATAAAAATATTATGTTTTCAATCCTTACCATAATTTTGATTTGTAAATAAATAAACTTAACTACAGCTAATAATGATTACAACTAATTTACTTAATGTTAATGTAATTCAAAATATTACTGTCGTAGTTATGCAACAGACAATATACATAGTGCCTAGACCAATAATGTGTCCCAAACTGCATGATGAGCTCATGTATTGGGGAAAAGGCTTGTCAGCACTGGATATGGCAGGCATAGTTCTATATATATATTATTACATATTCTTCATTGCTTTCATAATCATAAATTATTAGAATTAACTGGAGCCCTGTCCAAATTTTCCATATCTTAAACTTCCATTCTGTAGTCTTGTTAATTGTAACTTTTATTAATATCATCCTGATTAATGGATTTCAAACCTCTACACAGTCTTTCTTAAACACAGTTATCAAACTATCATACATTATTCCAAATAAAGTCTAACATGCAACGTGTTTTACAGCTTTAGTAGTAGTGCTGCTAAGATAGTAGTAGCTGTACTAGCAGGGGTACTTATTATACTATTGCTACTACGGCAAACTGATGACCTCCTTTGACCTCAATACATCTATAAATGCAATCTAAAAGCCTATTCCCTTATTTAGACTAAATTAGTTATAACTAGCTAACATACACTGTAAAACTTGCAACTACAAAGGTTTAAAAGCTTTGCAATAGCTAAACCCTGATATTTTCCCTAAACACAGTCCAAAAAGTGGACTAGTAATAGTCGTAGTACTAGCTCTAACAGTAATAGTAGGGGTGATAGGTAAGCTCTACAGAACAAGAATTTAGAAGAGCTCATAAAATACTATCTTAATAGTACCTATCAAGTTACACCGTACAATTTGAAATAGCAACTTTTCACTCACACTAGACGAATTTCTTGTAGTAAGGCTTAACAATAAGGTTCTCTCCCTACCTCACATTTATTATCACTTTGACCAAACTAATCACACAGAAACAAAATCGTGTATGACCTCACCGATAACCTTGTAATAGTAATAAATCTTACATTTTATAGTATTCCATACTTCCAGACAACTTCTGTAAAAACACGCACACGAGCCAAATGCTTTAAACATTTTAAGTTGAAACACTTACTCGATTAATAAAACAAGACATTACTATAGACAAAATGCTCTATCTTAGTGTCTATAATATATAAATTGAGAACTTAGACTCTAAGTTAGAGACGTCAACAGCTTTGAAAACACTGTATTTGCACGAACCTGAAGATACGATGCTGAGTAATAAAAGTAAGGCTACCTCTTTTTTATTTAAAACATTGGCTCGATAATTTAATTAAGTGCTTTTTATTGGCTTTTTTGCAAATTACACGCTATAATTTTGTTCTTGTTTTTCAATTACGAAACAAAAATATCACTGTATAAACGACAAATAATCACACATAATGATTTGTTTTCTGTAAAAATACTAAGAATTTACGTTTCGAATTTCTGTCTTCCGGTGACTTGTAACGCTAAAAACTGGTGTACAATCCCTGCGATTGGAAATCGCAGATAGCCCATTGCACCCCTTGAGGTGGATTGCTGTACGAGGTGAGGGGACCTCCCACAGAAAGTTCTGTATTTTCAGTTTACCTCCTCTGGGATCTAAGCATCCATCCACGTGTTTGCCGTGAGTGGTGACCCGTGAAGGGGAGGAGAGGATCCTGGTGGTTGAGCGGTGTCTGGGGCACTGCAGCACACCACTTTGGCCTTGAATTCCTGTAGACGGGTGGCCTTGGGGTGGCCCCCTAGGGTCAATCGGCTGATCCATTGGGGCTAGGGTCAACTGAGTACCAGTGTTGGGCGTTCTCAATGGTTGTTGTGGACATCGTGTCTGATACTGGTGTTTGGGTATAGTGCTCACGAAACCCTGGCGTTGCTACAGTGTCTTTGTTTGACATTGTAGTGTGTCCCCTCGTAGGACTCCATGGCGGGTGGGGTCAGTGGGCACTGAATCTCTCTCTTTAATTATGGATCCCCCCATTCCAAATAAAAAAATGTTAAAAATCCGCTAATTGGTAAACGACCACGCCTAGAAGACTCTGAACAGCTGTCTCCATCACAAAGTACACCTGTACCTCGCTTTGTGATCCTGCATTCACTGTCCGATAAATCTTTAGGGCAAATGTCTCCCTTTTTTATTCAGAAGGGCTTAGAGGGGCTTGCTGGCTCTCCAAAGTCAGTTAAGAAGCTCCGTTCTGGAGACATCTTAGTAGAAACATCCACAGCTAAGCACAGTGAACTCTTCTTGAATTCAAATACCATTGGGGATATACCCATTGAGGTTACTCCCCACGCTTTCTTGAATTCCTCACGAGGAGTTATTGTTGAGAGGGACTTGAAGTCTATCCCCGAGTAGGAGATCCTTGCTGGTTTCTCCAACCAAGGAGTTTCAGCAGTTCGAAGGATCTCCACTTGTCAAGATGGAATTATGGTGCCGACCTCAGTTTTAATTTTGACGTTTTCATCACCACGTCCACCTGCCACCGTTAAGGCAGGTTATTTGAATTGTAAGGTACGGCCCTATATTCCCAAACCTCTCCGATGTTTTCAGTGTCAGCGGTTCGGTCACTTAAAGACATCTTGTCCTGGTTCTGTGACGTGTGCTCGTTGTGGTGGCAAGGACCATGACGCCTATGAGTGCAAACTGGACCCTCACTGTGTTAATTGTAGTGGATCCCACCCCTCTTACTTTAAGTCTTGCCCTAAGTGGGTGGATGAGAAAGAGGTACAGTGTTTGAAGACTCTTAATAACATCTCTTATCCTGAGGCTCGGAAGCTATTGTTCCCTACTACATCTTGGACATATGCCACTGCACTATGCTCCACTGCTACAGTGGGAGTGCAGACGGATCTCTGAGTCTTTTTCACGCCATGTGAGGGATCTTATGCCCTCAATGGATAATAGAGTTGATAGATCTACATCTACTCCAATCTCTGTCTCCACTGTTCCTTCCAGTGACTGCCTGGGTCAACCTTCTCGGGCACCAGCCTCTAGTGTCCGTGCGGGTCCTTCTTTGGCCCCTAAATGCAGGACAATCATTCGATCACGTCCTCAGTCATTGGATTCTCACTCTGATGACAGAGATCTGCCCGCTTGATCAAGGGCAGGATCCATGGAGATCAATCGACCTCCATCTAGTAAAGAAAAACGGCGTGATCGTAAACCGAAGGGTTCTCCTTTGATACAGTGACACTACGTAGAGGTATGGAATTTTGCAGGACCTCCACTCCTATGGGTTGCATTGCCATTTACCCATTTTTATTCACAACTTTTACTGAACAGGCGATTCCAATTCCGTGTGAGTTCAACTCTTTCCCGTTCCTTT